ACTACGCCTACATGCTGGAGGTGTACGGCTCCCTGCCCGCCTTCCTCAAGCTCTGGATAGAGCTGCTCATCATCCGGCCCTCCTCGCAGTACATCGTGGCTCTCGTCTTCGCCACCTACCTGCTCAAGCCCATCTTCCCCACCTGCCCGGTCCCCGACGAGGCTGCCAAGCTGGTGGCCTGTCTCTGTGTCCGTAAGTACCCCCAGACCCTCTCCAGGGGCCTGCTGTCCCGCTACCCTACGTGGCTCCCCGCTCCCCGTTGCCTTCCCCCAAAAAAGTCAGCCCAAACAGCTGGCTGCCTTGAGCCCATCACTTTGTGGGAGACGCACCACCTCCCCTCTGCTGCACTAGCTCCGTACTGGTATTTTTGGGCTGTTTTGAACAGCATGAGTGCAAATGTGGCCCCATCCCAAATAAATTGAGCAAAAAAAAAAAAAAAAAAAAGCCCAAACTGCCAGTTACGGGCTAGCGAGCCTCTCTGGTTTCTGGCAATGCAGCGAACCGCGTGCGATAAATGCAACGTGTGTTTTGCCTGCGCGCTGGAGCGGGATTTCTCATGCCCTCCCACCGGAGCGTGTTCGGGCAGGGCAAAATCCCCTTGCAGCGCTGAGGTAATGCTGGGCATTTGTGTGCAGCCGTAGGTGAGCATAACGTGCAGCGGAGAAATTATCTGTCACGAACAACTGGTGCTGAACGTGGCCTGTGCTGCAGTGCCGGGCTGTTTTCAGCACCAGTTTAGAAACGTTCTCAGCTGTATGTGCATTGATACCATGCTCGAAACCTGTTAGCGTTTTTGTTTTTTGCCAGCAAACATGTCTTGTGAGGCGTTGCCGTGCAGGGAAGTTCAGTCACGCCGCGATGAATTTAGGGCCACTGATGTCTGCCATGGCACACAAATCTCTCTCTCCTGCTGCAGTTTTTATTGCCTCTCTGGTATTTTGAGGTCTGTGGTTTTCCAGTGAAGCCCCGTTTTCCATTCCTCCGGTGACTGCAAAGTCACCCCATCCAAATTCCTCATTCTTTAAATACAGGACCGTTTTCTGCCTTTCTCTCCTCCTTTCCTATTCAGTCTGTGTTGCACTCCACTGGTAGTTCTTGTGCCATTGTGAAGGTGTGTATTGGGAGAGGGTATCATTTTTTGTGAGGGTTATTTTTTATAAAAAGCATTTATTTGCTGTACAGAGTTACAGTCAGGTGAGCTTTTTATTTTTTCATTGTGAGGTGGTGAAGAGGTCTGCTTGTTCGTGCTGTCCAAAGGGAGATTGTGTTAGATTCCTTCAGCCTCTCGGGGATCGCAGGCATTCAAAAGTTGCGGCGCATGGTCGTTATGGGAAGATATATTGTCTGTAAATGTCTTCATACACAAACCGACCGAGTCCTTGGTAGATACATTATATGGCTAGCTAGTAGATATAGTAAGATGGATAACAGGCAGGACAGCAAATTGTACTTTCTTTGGGCAAGATTGAAACTTACTCATTCCCCAGATAAATTTTTCGGAACGTAAGGGCAAGTAGACAGGCTTGTGGACTTCCCAAGTTTTTAACAAAGTGGAGTGCATATATTAAGGAAATACAGTCACCCAACTAAGAAAGCTGTAGCAGGGTTAGAAAATAGTTCTGCTGATGGGTTTCTTGCCTCAAGCAGGGCCTTGTGACAAATCCAGTTTTAGAGCTTTTCTGCCAGTCTGCAATACGGCTTCTTCAGTGGCACAGAGAGAAGGGGCATGCATGCACGTGGCCTTCACGTTTTTTGCTGAGAAGCTAACAGAATTAGAGCGTTGATTAGATGGACTTTCTAACCGGTTTATGTCAAAGTTTTGCTGTGCAAGAACATACCATAGTTGACAAAGCCTTCGAGAACACGTTTCTAGTAATAAGTAACTTTTCATCTGTAGGATCTTTCCCCAAATAGGTGGGGTGAGGTGTCTCTGTTCCCATTTTACTGATCAGAAAACAAATGCGGGGGCAAGATCCGTTCAGTGACAGGGTGGATTGCAGCATGACATTTCTTGATGCCAGGTCTCATCCCCACTTAGCTTCTCCAATAAGTAATATAAGCGTCTCCAACTTTCTTTTGCTAGCAATTAGTCGTTTTCCTGAAGCAGAATTTGTTCTTGAACCTTTATCTTGAAATGCCAAGGGAAGAGTTGCTAGCTCTACAAATCTGCGTCATTTCCATGTGTTTCTTCTTTAAACTTTACTCCCCCCTGCACCACTGGCTACTATTTCGTTTATGCTTTGAGTTAAATTTTTGTTTGTCTGCTTTGCTACAAAAGGTTAGTTCATCATGCATTGCCTTCGGCAAGTTAGTTTTCTGTAACTTTGATTTTTGGAGTTAGCTTTCCTACTGTCTAGTGCCAAAACCACATCACGAACTAGGAACAATAAATGAAGTAAATCTGGTCCAAGGACTTAGCGAGTCACACAAAACTTCTATGGACTAACAGGCGTCTTTGTTACACGGTTGTTCCACACATACCCTTATCCAGTGAGATACTATTTTTTTCCAAGAACCCTAGGATAGGAAAAATGGCCTGTTTGTGCATACGCTCTAGAACATACGTTAACAAGTTATCTCAAAGAAGGGAAGAACAGTTTAAGAAGCAATAGGGGAATTTGGGGCCCCGGGCTGGAATACAGTTGACTTATTATGTAGCCAAACCCCAGCCGTCTAGAACAGTACCAGCTGTATTCTTTGCGAAGTTTGTATCTCAACGTAAAATGCAATTGACTGCATGGTTTCTAGTAAGAGGGGAAATAACAAAAGTTATTTGTTTCTACTTTGAGCCTTACTGGTGTTGAACAGTTGAATAAATAATGTGTTGCTCGGTATTTGCCACCATGAAGTACAGAAATTGGATTTCTAGGCATTAAGATAATCTAAATAAATCACAGTCTTGAAAGAAAGAAGAAAATAGTTGGAATAGGGGATTTTGTTCCCCTTAAGGTGCTGAGGAAAACAACGTGGGTGGTAAGTAGAATTTAACTACAAATAGGTTTTTTCTGCCATCAAGATTGTAATCTACAGACAGTTGGTATGCAAGACTACTTCTTCCCGAAGACAACATAAATGCTTATTATGGCTGCCAAATAAAAGTGTGGGAACTCACTACAGGGAAGTCTTCCTGTAGCAAGATGGGTCAAGCTGTTCATCATTAGCGTGGCTTGTTTGATGTTCACTGTGAAACAGCCAGTGCTCCCTAGTTGTAAGAATTTCCAGGTGCTTTGGCTTTTCAGGCTGCGGGTTACTTAGGTAACTCAAACTGCATGTTATTTCATCTGTCAGATCGGATGGCTGATACTTTTAGGACTGATAAATGATAAAAGCAAATGCTAAGGGATAAAAACCCCATAAGGTCCACCTGGTGTCCAAGTATTTTTTGAACAGAAAAAGTTCATGAAGCTGAGAAGTTGTGCCTATGCATAAAAACCCAACAGCTGTTTGAATTCCCCCAAATATGATCTCGCCTAAACCAATTTAACCCCTTCTACAGAGGGTGGAGGGACAGTTACGAGGTCCTGACTTTTCATATTTGATGACATTTACATTACAGTGTCTGTATTGTACATGGCAAAGAACTAAACTACTAAGGATTCTGTACTCTGTTTTTCAGGCGCACATTTGAGGCTATGTAGATAAATGAAAATTTATTTATTGTTGCTTCCTCTGTTTTCTCTTGAGAAAGCATCACAGTGGAACATACGTTTGCACCGCACTTCCAACATACTTGTATCTTTTTCTGCAATCCTCTCCAATTTATTTTCACTCTGAATTAAAAAAAATACACGCTTTTTAACAGAATATTTAGGTAGCAAGTGTAGTTTTGAAAGAACTTGTTGTTTATGAATGTTGCAGGACCATCTTCACATAGTAGAAGGAGGATCATGTAAAACTGTTTAATCCTGTCTTTTTTTTTTTCCCATTGAAGAGCTGGTGTCCAGGTAATGGCCTGAACAGTGACGTGAAAGAGCATCCAACTGAAAGTGCATCTCTGATATCTTACAGTGCTAGCGGGTCAGATTCTCTTTTGCAGCTGGCTGCCGCTTGTGTCACACTTCCTAAATTTGAACTGGTAAATCTTAACAAAAATCCTTAGAAAGTTCACAGAGCACAACCTAATACACAGTGTGTATTCTAGAGATGGCTCAAGGATGGAAAGTTTCAAGTTAGCCAGTTAAAGATAACGTCCATATTTTTTATTTCCACCTGTTAATTTGCTGATTTCCTACATGTGAGAGGTCTTTGAACTGTGGTACAATAAATTCCCTGTAGGTAAGGGAGACGGGGGATAATGCTGCTTCCAGACCCGAGCTGGTTCTTGCTTGGTGTTTCACAAGTGCCTGAACTGTTCCTCCTACGCCCGTTCTTAGACGCCGTCCGCCACGCCCCCCCCGTGTGCTACGTAACAGGTTATCCTATAATTTACTTATTTCTTGACAATATCATCTGCTCCAGAGAAGCTTGGGAAACCCTGCCAGTTGCATATTTGACTCTTGATCTTCAGTGTCAAATTAGCGATTTGATTGTTAGCTTCTGAAGCCTTTTATCACTTGTTAATTATATATGCTAATCTGGCACTAATAACCCCAATATTGCTGCAGCGATATCTGCTACTTCCAAAGCTGCAGTATTTTAATCTTCTTTAAAATTTCTTCAGACTTCTTTTGCTGCTTTTGAAATATTATTTTGGGCACTCCTCCTGCAAGCATGGAATTCCAGTAAAATGATCGTACATTTCTCATTTGTCTCTTCTGTTATGAACGGCCTAATAGTGGAAGAATTAGTAGCAGTCCGTGCAGAGTTGAGTCATATCTAATAGCATGTCATATGGAAGCATAAGTGCCTGACACCCCCCTGAGTACATTATGAGCTAGAGGAAGAGACTGGTATCACATCCAGGGTTTGGCAAAAGCGTATAAAAACGTGCCTTGAACGCTTGCCAAATTACAGCCGTAGTCCGTAAGTGGATATTCAGTGTCAGCATTTCAACTAGAAATCGCGTATGTTGAAAGCAGGAACGTCTTTATTTAGTATTAAGGTTTTACTCTAAAGCTGACAGTTTGGCTGTTTGACCAGCTGTTTAAAGTGAAGCTATGGGTAGATTTTGAACTTGTCAGGTATTAGATGGCAAGCAAGGCAAGCACAAAATACATCTTAGACTTGTCAGTTTAAGATGGGTTTATTCTGCA